TAAAAAAAAGTGTGCATGCGCTTGTAACTTGTCAAAATATACTGTATGTATGAGGTAGTCTTTTGTTTTACCCTTTGTTTAAATTTGAATGGTGTGTCAGATTTACAACACACTAAATGTTTATGTAGCTTCAATTTTTACAACCCAGGTATATTATTGTACTATTTATTTCAATATTTTTATATCTTGTTAGCTAACTTGCATACTTTTGATTTATCTGAGAGTGGGTCCCCACTTCCTCAGTTTTATAACTCTTAATGTGCTGTTTTATTTGAAATAAGGACTAATTATCTAGTAACCCCAGGATGGTGATGTAAAATATGCCTTTTGTTGACAATATGCACAGATACAAAAGATCTGATGCATGAGATTGATTGGGGAAAATGGGATACACTTGAAGTGAGGGAATATTTATGTACAGGCAGGGGTTTCAGTTACTTTTTCCATAAGCTGCTGGCAATGATGTTTAAGGCAGCTATAAGGTAAGGTGAACCTCAAACACAAGAGCCTGCTTGGAGCCTAAATAGGCAACAGTGAGAGGTCTTACAGGTGCTGGTAGACTGCTGCTAAATGGCTTTTATTAAGCCCTTTGTACATTTATCAAGTTTGGCCAAAGAGGGGGAAGAGTTGTCTTTTAGTCAGAGATGGGCAACAAGTTTTAGAAGGCCCTTATTATGGAAATGTTTGTGTGGAGTTATGTATTAAAAAGACTCTTCTTACCTCCAGGTCTGATATCAGATTTTGAGAAAATGTGGCCATTAGATCGTCCCTTCAATGAATTAAGAAGGACAGAGGTGAGCTTAATGTTTTAGTAGTTGAAAGTTGACTGTTTACAGTAAACTTGTTTACAGAAAACCGTCATATCCTATTAAGTCTGATATTCCCTGTGTGATATTCCATGCATCCAAGTATTAAATATAATTATGAACATTTTCATCTACATGTATATTTTGAGAACATCTACATGTTCATGTCAAGTATTAGAGGTAGAAATTAATTAATTCTCATTTGCTATTTGAAGGTCAGTTTGGAATGCGTTAGACTGTAGTAATATGTACTTATTTATAACTACCTATAACTATTATTATTGCAATTATAAATATTGGATCTACATGTAGAAAAAACCCAATGTATGTAGGTACAGTTTAAAATACAACCATAATTGATTTCTTACAAAGGGGTGTAGAAGTTGATGTAGTTTTGCTTCTGGGATTTGTAAATTGAACGAAGAGTTTGTTAACTTACATTGTCGTGTCCATAAAGCTGTACTGCTCCTGCAACTTAAACAATAGCAGTATTTTCATTAATACATTGCAACAAGGAGAATAGATGACAGGGTTTGGTTTGAGTACAGTATGTAGGATTCATTGGAAAATTAATTTTACCTTTAATTGCAACTTGTCGTTATCATTAGCAGGAGTATTCTCGATACAAAAATGATCGTTACTGCAACAATTGGCTATACATGTAGCTGTATGACAAAAATTTCTTGAAATCATCGACTGACACTTTAGCTTGCCGTATATATCTGTTACCAACTATGATACGATTTGAATTTATCGACATGAAAGATTTAACATTTGTTCCAAAAGGAACTTCATCAAGATATAATGGAAGGCAGAAACGAGCAAAGTACATGTAATGCATAATAAAAAGAAGGCCTTTCGGGGAATTTTTTACTTTGTACAAAGAATTTTATACACCTGCATAAATTACGTGCTGGTATTTTTAATTACAAGCTACGAAGCTACATTCTACTAGGTGAGTGGGTTCAAGAAGGTGCCAAATTTGTTTCATAACAAACAATGAGACTACGACAACAAATTCTCTGTGTTTAAACGATCATAAAGGTGGCTTTAGTTGGCACCATACAGCGAGTGTCTATTAACTTGAAGAAGTAAGAAACTATTGTTGAGAACTAGCTTTTGAGATACATGTACATGCATTCCACGAGTAATGTGAAAATAGTAACTTCCTTGGAAGAGAAAATAGTAAGTTCCTTGAAATTGAAAATAAAACGAACAAAGGGCTTTAAGAAGCGACATCGAGTCAGGTTACAAGATGGTTAGAGTTGGGTTAGTGTTAAAGCTCAACTCTGGTTAAAGTGAAACAACGGGGCGGCAGCAGGGCAGTTAAATAGCTATTCCTTTAAATATACACATTTCGTGCTTACGTATACGTCCGCGCTTCTATCTATGTTAGTCATGCGTTCTTTTCTGCTGAAAGCTCTGCCGTTTTAAAGTGCCTGGGTTTATTTCTCTGAACGGTTTAGTGGAGCTGAAAAAGCGACATCTCCAACTCTTGTTGCAAAAGAGCGGCATGGTGTTGATTGTCAATTGTGCGATTCTCGCTATTGCATAAATAGCGCTATCCACTGCGGAGGATCGTGCATCATACGTAAAGATACTCAAATTATCGAAAGATCCACAAAAAATAGTGGAAAAAAATGGGAAGTTATCTTACCTTAGCTGAACTTGACAGAAAATAGGTCGAATTAAGGTTGCCTTTAGTTTGTTGGTTGGAACTTGTAACGTTCAATTGTACGTGGTTGCACACTCACAATGGGTCACGCAGTTGTCAACAGTTTTTGGGAAGAAACTCATAATGGGCACGTGGTTGCGTGGGTCGAGTTCGCCGCGCAAGTTTGTCTGGGATCGTTACTCGGGACACAGATCTTTGTTTACTGTAGATTTGTGTTCCCAGTAACGATCCCAGACTAACTTGCGCGGCGAACTCGAACCACACCCCCACTCGTTTTTGAAATGAGAAACTCGTCACGCAGGTCCTTTCTAATCTTACAGATGATTGGCCCAACTGGCATTAGTAATAGGGAACCCTTTTACGTAAGTCACAAAGGTGAATGCCATCAGAGCAGCCAAGTATTCTGGGCCTTTTTTTTTTTTTTAATTTTTTTGGCTAGTGGGGCGATTTTGGGGTGCAAGTTTATTTTATAGAAATTTCTGAAAACCTTCACTGGATTAGGTGAAAATAATACTAGAAATGAGAGTTACCTTTTCTATCGACGGTATGCTTACCTTGGCTTTCGCGGTTGTGCCGAAGCAAGTGATGCCATGTTTTGCTGTGATTTTTAAACGCTCTTAGAATCATCTCAGATTTTGTCCTGTGTTGGAAGTCCGACATTGCCTTTTGTTAGATGGTAGTACTTATCAGCAAAGGCTAAAAGAAAAGTAGGAGCGCCTGTTTAGTACAAAGTGAAAGTGAAACTAGGGATAGAAACGCAAGTTTTTAATTTGCTTGCCTGATAAGTATGCCACCATGTTAATTTGAGTATGGGTTGGATATTGAAACTGACTATGGTTTGCTTTCCTGGCGGCTTTTATTTCTTGTTTTGACTTTTACTCCGACTGTCAGTATTACTCACAGTAGGTAAGAATTTGATGCAGAAATTATTGCAAATGATGCAAGTAAGCCATAATAGCAACGGATCTTCCGTGCATACTTTGAGACTTTTGTTTGTAATGTACTAATTTATATCTAGTAGGTTTGGAGCGTAGAGAGAGTCACATACACTTCACGAAATACTGCTTTTATTTTATGTTGCGTTAGTAGTATTTCTTGGTTGTCGTGTGTAAGATAACGCTACAAAAGGGATGACGGGACTTGTAAACAAACGTTTCAGCGCTCCAATACAATACAGGTCAAACCTTTGCAGTTTTTACGAGAAAATTAACCGAGATTGAAAGTGCACAGCGTAAATCTTGCCATGAATGCGGATTGCGCTCGATGAAACTCTATCAGTCACAGACACAGCAATAAATTCATCGCCTTTACAACAGGCTACTTTCTGGTCAGGTCTGATCTTCAAATTGAATAAGTTTCCTAAACTAATATTATAAAATAAAATTTCTAAGACCACCTGAAATCGAATTTTGTGTACAAAGTCGAATTGCGGCCAAGAATGACATATCAAACCTTGATCAGTTTACCGCGGGACAGTTTTCCAGTCTTCTAATTGTTTAAGTGAGAAGAAGCGTTTGTGTGTCAAGCGTCGGGTCTGCACTTGTGTTTTCCTTTTCCATGTTTCCCTTTGCTGGCTTGGTCGTGCATCCATTCTGGAGAGCGGGTGTGATATAAATAAATAAGATTATTTAGGTAAAAGGATGTTGCATGATTTGCGACACGAAAGGCCAAGGGGAAAGGAGGACAGGAAATTTGGAAATTGTTTGATTTACACTTAAAACTCTTATTGAAAGTATCATTGAACCGTTGAGATTTTTTTAGCACACGTACCTCTGTCTCCTCTGCCAGTTGACTAAATGCGCATTTGTGACTTGATCAGTTGCAGTAAAAGGCGCTCTTCGCTTTCCGTATGCTACAGTAGTTGTCTCCTCAGAGTCAATGAGGGAACATTATATTATGAAAGAAGTAGGGAATTTTTTTTCTGTGTGCTGTCATGCAAAGCTAGGGAAATAGCCCGCAGGAAATTTTTGATATGTACAAGTCCAGGCATGTTCTCTCAAACTTGGTAGCTATGACAATCAAGGAATGAGGTTGGAATGTTTTTATCAGGAATTTCAATTTGGTAGCCAAAACATTCTGGATAAAAATTCCTTTTTCATCGAAGAATTAACTGCACATGCGTTCTATAACGTTTTAAACACGAAAGGCTGACTTTGCTATGGATGCCTGAGTATTTCGGTATTAATCTCTTGCTGTCGATGACCTCATTCGAAACTGAAAGCACTTGTGATCGGAAAATTAAATAGTGACTGGGCAATTATTTTTTTAGAAGTGAACATGAAGTTCACGATGAATAGGAGCAGTCACTAATCACAGCTTATATACTTGTAGTTCCCTTTTGGCATGATGAAATACTATTTGGCCGTCAATCAAGACAGAAGTAGAGAACTATTGGGGTTAAGAGCTGTCGACTGTGATGTTTATTTATGCGGAAATGTCAGTCAAAATAATGTTAATAGGATCAGTAAAATTTTTAAATCACAAAAATGTTATCGAAGCTTGTCGTAAAATATTTAACAACGAATTGAGGAGTAGGTTGAGAGAGACGATAGTTTCTTAGGAATTTTAAACAATCAGCGAGATTAATGAAGAGGTAGGTTTTTAAGAATGAATGTTTATTTCTAATTTTTGAATGGCTCGCTTTGCCTACAAACAGTACCGATTAATTTTCAAGCTGTTCGGTGCGAGCAAGTCAAAAGGTGCTGTGTTAATACAGGATTGCTTTCATACTGTTTTGACATCGCTGCGCTTGAAAATATTCCCCTGGTAGAAGTCCCGGCAAGGGGATTTTTTTTTTGTTTTGTTCTGAAAACGAAAGTTTGCTCCGTCAGTGTAGCGTGATTTTATTTAGGTAAAACACCCTCGTTCCTCCAACTTAAAATATAAATGATGAAGGACGAGGGGATGACGTATTCTTACATAACTAAGCTTGTAAGCTTTCGGTTCCACCTTGTTGAGCTGCGTCGTTGCTCTGCTTTGCGACGTCGATTAGCGGTGAAAATTATTATCATCATCATCATCATTATTATTATTATTATTATTATTATTATTATTATTATTACTGCTATCTTATTACAGCAACTTTTACTGCCTTGAACCATTTCACAATCGAAGTCTTAATACTTAAGAGACTATCAAAGAGGAGTTCATGGAGAATGAGTGACATACTTGAATCAGTTTTTGCTGTAACGATATTTGACTGTCTTTTACAATTGGACTTAGAAACATTGTCAAGGAAATGGAAACACAACGTTTGTTTGGTTATACAGTAATGTATTTGTTCAACTTAAAGAATATACGACTACAAACAAGGAATGATTTATCTAAATATTAGAAAGCTCTTAAATATATCAAAATAATGAACAGAAATATGAAGATGTTAATATTATCGGTCAGTTGGTCCATATCGTCGTTCTCCTGAAAAGATCAAATAATAAAAACAATTAAATAAGTAGCTATTTTGTTGATTGGTAAGCGGGCTTTTTAGGTTACATTCGAATTAAATATCTGTTGAGTTGTTCACCTGCGAAGCTCGGCATCCTTGGTCTTCGTAAAGACCGTCATCTCTAATTCTGAAACGAGAAATTTTCGCGGCTTTATTTTATAATTCGTAAGGATGATTTTAATTAAGTACGGTCAGACTAAGTCGTTGAAAATTTGTAAACAACTTTATACCGCCGGCCTGTGTCGTTGAAAATGGAAGTAAAGGCCGTATTATTTCAAGGGAATTTTTTTGTCTCATTTGAAACTTATTGTTTTGGATCACTTACCCTATCGAATTGTCATCTGTACATTGTTGGATCCTTCGTCCGGATATAGTCCATCCTGGGGGTGGGTAACTGTCGTCGTCCTAACAAAAAGAAAAAAAAAAGCAGTTATGTCCCGTTAGTCTGACGGTGGTACGTCAAGTTCGGGATAAGACAAATCTCAAGTCAGTCGAGTTTGAGAACGTGACTTCAAAGAATTTCTAGAAACGTCTAAACGAGAATTAACATCTGAGTTCAAAAGGTCGATTGCTTTTTTAAGAGTATTTATTATGTGACACGGTTTTCAAATTCGTCATGTAGTTTTCTTGCATAACTAAATTATGCATATTGGAAGCATTAAGCTCTTGTCTCATCCCACTGCTTTGATAGTGACATTGGAAAAGTCAAGTTTACTTTGCTTGCTGATAATTATCTTTCGCTTGAAAAAAAAGCTTGTGGAATGTACAAACTTTTACTTGAACACTGACCTGACTTGAATTTTCCAAGCCACTTGAATTGTTGCCATTACTTTGTAGCAAGTGTATTCCTTGTTGATGTTCGATGGAATCTGCGTCAAGCTTGGGTATTCTAGGATGTGTACAACATAAACATTGTTACTGATAGAGATACCTTGCTCTACAGTCGTCTAACACCTGTGTCCTAGATCAAAGGAAATAGAGGTTTTATCAGATTCCTCCAGGACAAAGAAGAACCCTTAAAATTTGCCTCGCTCCTAAAGTGTGCTCAGATGGTAGAAGCGAGGCCCCTCTAGTATCCGGTGGCCACGGGTTTGAATCCCGTTGATCACTGAATTTTTAGGCTTCTTTTTGCAATTGCTAAAATCGCATCTCGCCTGCGTGGATCATGGCTTTATTTGATTTCAATCCGCAGGTCAAACGAAATGTAAGAAATGCGTATTTGGGGAAAATAATTCGTTTCTGTATTCGTTACGTTTACGTAACTAAACTTCTTAGATGGACTCACTCTTTGCCTCCTTCTTCCTCGTCTGAAGAGCTGGTGTCTTCACCCTACAAATGTACGCAATCATTTATGAAGCGTTTACTTGTGTAAATCTTATCAGATCCTTTTAAATATGTTTCTCGTCAAAACTAGTTAGGCCAGCACAATGTTTAAAAATATCCCTTCTGTAAAATCGGTTATCTCTAGAAGCCACACCAACCTTTAAGACAAAATGAATGTATGTACAACAGAATTAAGTTCTCTCTTTAAGAGGTTTGTTTTATGAATTAGTCTATAATTTTTTATAATAACTATTTTTATGTGAAAGTCAAGCGATGTTGTAGGTGGAACTGCACGGAATTGGGCGACTGCTTTTCATGTTCCACCTTCTTTTGTTTGCTTTAAAGAAAAAAAATTGAAGTAACATCATGTCAAGGAGAATGGATAGTCTTACCCTGTCATGTTTCGCTGCCATCTGGAAAAGGAAAAAATATTTTTGTGAGAACAAACAGCGATATCAAGAGTAAGTTTGCATCTCCTATCCCAACCTTTTCCAGTTTCAGCCGCATCGTTTTTGGTTTGTGATTCGTAGTCCTAGTGATACAAAGTGCATTTGGATGTGAAAGTTAATAGCAAAATACTATCTCCCATTTCTATGTTTTGATCCCATTTTGTAGTCTTAAAGGATACAGATAAATATATCTGCAATCAGCACAGAAAGAGCTTTTTGAAGCTTCAAAGTGAAAGAATTTAGGAAGTTGCTATTAGAGAATTCATTGACGATTACATATACATACACTTATCTATGGCAGGTCGTGTGATCTTGCAGCAATTATGTGGTTAACCTGCTGAAAGGAAAGAGATGACTTCAATTGATACTGCGAAATAGAGCTATTTGTCTTTGTGTGTATTCGTGATCTTACAGCAACATTTTAGCAATTATTTAGAGCCTGTGTCAACTGTCAGCAGTACATATAGAAGGAAAAAAAAAAAAAAACATCAGTGTGGAGATTTGGTTTAGCACCATTGTAAATCATGAGTATCCGTTTTGCAAGCAAATAAAATTTGCAAAAATTGGAAACTGTGGTGCTGCGTAGTTGGGAGTAACAAGGTAATTTTAGTGTTATCAACTGAGTTGATAATGTAAACAGGCTACCGTAAAGAGTTTCATAGACGCTCGAAACGTCAGTTTTGAAACTCTTTACGGTGATCAATTTACATTATAAATTCAGTTGATAAAACCAAAATTATTTGTCTTTTTAGCCAGCTGTCCGACCGGAAATGGAATATGGACTCAAACAACCGTTCATATGTCTCGTATACTGTTAAGTTAACGTTTTGTCCTCATAAAGAGGTGTCTTTGTGTTTGGGCTTGCCATATGACGAGCACAAGAGAAATGTTTGCAAAACGCCTTTTGAATAGTAGAGTTGTATACTTAAGTACTTTGTTAATTGCTGATAATTTAAATACGATAGGGTATTGATATGCTGTGATTCTGAGCTTCCTCTCCGGAAATGTGGTCTTCATATTTTGACTGCGTTGTAATCCTGTCGTAGTGGTTTATTTGTGGTATTTTGTCGCCCAAACGATAATGTTTAGATCGCAAGTTGGCGTTAAATTAATTGCCCTAAGTGTTAATGTTCACAGTGGCATGTCAGCCATGTGTAATCTTTTTCAATTATAAGAGTGTTTAGATGTTAATTTGAGTTTTTCTGTAGCGCACTAGCGCGACACACTCGAGATGTTTGAATCGCTTGAGTAGATGTTAGAAAGGTGGAAAGGTAAGGAGTGAACTCGTGTTTTCCTAAGCGTTGACGAAAGGCACGTGCTGTTAGGTTTGGCGACGAAAGGCAGATTTTAATCGCTGTGTAAACTTGTGTCTAACGTAATTGTCTAGGCGAATGAAGTAAACATCGAGGGAATCTCTGAATTATCGAATAACCCAAATGGCAAGAATTAAAGTGTAAACATACACGTTAAAAAAGAACCTTATCGCACCTGTATTCACAGCAAAAAGAGAGAGTGGTACAGATTTGGATGTTGTTAAAAAGCTCTCGTCCCCTACATATTGAAATAATCCCGCTCGGTATCTTCGACCTCACCAAATGGTAAATAGGATAATCCGGATAATTTGAATGGTTTAAGGTTCGCAGAAAAGGTGTTAGATGGAAAAACAGAAATTTATTACCCATACCTTGCTGTAAACACAGTAAAATGGTTGCGCTTTCTGTTCTGATCTGGTGAAAGGTTTGTTCGTGCAGACATCGATGTTTTGAAGAAGACTTAGAATTACGCATGGCCGCATGGCTGCATGGACTTCAGTGCGCATGGTCTTACAAGTACCTACTGGAACTCTACGGTGGGCTCATGCAGTATAGGTACACCTTTCCTATCAGTGGAAATAGGAAGATAACGAAACTGAATGCAAAATAGTCTCAAAAGGCGGCCTAGGCACTGAAACTACGGCTGTTAAAGGATACACGTCGATCGAGCAGATTTTTCCACATCGTCAGGTCGTTCATGATATTGAGGTCTTTCGTGACTCTCTTGTTTTCTGAGAGCTTTTCCCCAAGCTGTGTAAATTTGAGCAGTTTCTCCGCACAGTAATTTTTTAAGTCATTCCAGCGGATAAATGTTAGATGTGACTAAGGCACTGTGTCGTCCCGTTAGAGAGGGCTGGCCTAGATCAGGAGTTCAGAAAGTGGACAGTGTGAGTAATTTTGAATTTAGAACATCGTCGTCGTCGTTACTTTTGTTCGTGACAGTTTCTTTGATGCCATGTCATTATCCATCAACTTAATGCGCTTAGACCTTTTTTATTGCTAGGTTATTTTTTACTGATGGATCATTTGAAGGTGAACACTTTCTTCTAATCGATATTATTTTCTAACTTGTCTTTGCCTGAAATCGACACTTTGTAGGTAGTGTCGCAGCTTAATAAGAACTGAAATGCCCTCCTCTACCAGTTGTGCCAGCAATCTTAACCCAGCGAGAGGGTGGCATTGATCTTTACTTTGATATGTAAAATCGTCGTTCCCTTCTTAACACTCAACATTCCACGTTAAAGTGACTTCTTCGTCTGACGACGTCCAGTTACCAGGACAGATCCTTGTAGCTGGTATAAAGAAATGTTATATTTCTGTTAAAGTTTGTGACGTTTTTCAAGGAAACGTATACTCATGTTTTGTTCTGAAGAACGGACAACTCATACGAAGGAAACGAGTTGCAAAGAAAGACGATAAACTTTGTGCTGTGCCTAACAGTAGCAATTTCGATTAAACAGAACGGGAATTATGCCTTTACATATTATCTTAGAGCCCTATGAAAGGTACAATAATTATGTACAGGCATACTTCGTGAACACCGCCGAATCTATGCTAAGATTTTGAGTGATTACTCACCTGGCGTATTGTACCAGCTCACTACGTACTTTTCAGTACAAACTCGTTTGAAGGGCTTCATCTTTTCTTTATCTTTCCCATCTCATGGAAAAAAAAAACTACTCGTAAATCTTGCTTTCCCTCTTGACGCAAGCATTCCTAAAGGAAAATCCTTTTAGACAATTTGTGTAAATGAAACGTACACCGTTTACTTTTCTGTTTCGCTATGATCTGCTGAGATTCGGTTTCCACGGAAATCATTGCATGATTACGATTCTAATTTTTTTCCGAGAAATGTCTTAATGCTTTTCAGAGAAGACTGGAATAATGTAGTAGATTCTTAGTTTTCAGTTTTGTTGCTTTGTGCTCCTGATTTGTCTGTTCAATGAGCACCTAGAAAGCTGGTTTGTTTCTTGATTAAACTTAAGTTTAAAGTATGTTAAGATTAGTACAAAAGAAGAAACTCCTATCCAGAGAAATGCAGGTAAAACTACCTTATTGTAGAAAATTAACAATGCACTTTATTAATGCGATTTTACAAAGTTCGCGTTAATTGAATGTATCGTAATTAACGTCGATGTAAATTTAATGCACGCTATTTTACAACACTGTTATTTTAAAGCACGTTTATTTCATTACAAAACCTTATTAGTTCATGAATCCTCTATTGGCTCTTCAGAGTCACTATCTAACAGGACGTCTTCATTTAAAATCGAGTTCAGACTGTCTTTTGATTGATATTGGTACTCCTCTGTCTCCCCGAGTGGATAGCTCACTTCTGTTTTCCTCTTTAAAATTTGCAATACCCGTTCGTCCTACCAATGCACGGTTACTTCTACTGGAATTTCTAAGCCGCCCTGAACCAGTGGAGACCGTTTATATCTTATAGATTTCACCTCCCCCATTACATTAGCTCCTCTCTTCAATGAATACCAGATATATCGACTCAGTTCTATGGGAATATGACCAACAGTGGCGGCAAATAACGTCCCTGACAGAATTGCTTGTCCAGCAACTGCAAACCGGTCGTATCTGTTATCTTTTTCTTACTTAAACGTGATTTTTTGCTTCATGGCTTCCAGGTTGAACGGTATACATGATAACTTCTTAAACCTGTCACGAATTCTAACGTTACATTCCAGCATGCAAGGGAACGTTTCCTCACCATATCCATTTGAGCAATCCTACAAGCTACCCATTGTAAATGCTTCTTTTTCTCCATAAGACATATGTATGCAGAATTACGAAAATCGCAGTAAACAAAGCAAGATGCTTATCGAAACATTCGAGACAATTTAATGCATATAAACCTAACTTCTGAAAACTTCGTGTTAATTTAGTGTAAGGTAAATTTTCTTCTCGTTGTCAACGTTCATTGTTAATTTCCTCTAATACGGTACACTGTTTTTAGCACAATCAATTTGACTTCGATAAAGTCGATAAAATCCAAAAATTTTTCCGGACGGATAATGTGTCACTTTTTTATTAGAAAGCTGTTGGGGAACTATCCTTTTAGCTTGCCTCAATTATGAGGGCTGGATGTTGTACACTTTAGTACAGATATATCTGAGCGAATTAAGACAGTTATCAAAAGTGCCCCTGTTCGTTTAATTATTTTATTCCAGATTGTCGGAACGAAAGCGGAAACTAATTTTCACGTTGCGTAAATTTGGTAGAAATTAAGGAGGCTCGAAAGGGTTCTTATGCCGGGGTAGTATGAATCTGAATAAGTGTATCCCACACACTATCCTCCCGCGAAATTGCGTGACGCGAGTTTTAAACAACAATGGTTTCCAAAAGAAGAATGTGGCCATTTGCGCAATAAAGAAGGAAAGATTTTTTGTTAAATGAGCTTGAGAAAAGTGAAAGTTTCGCCAACAAAGTAATTCAGGCAACAAGGACATAAGAAGACCGAGGTCGTAACAATGGTGTACTCGCGATCGACGATGTTACCAGGCAAAAGAAAACAAGACGATAGAATTTGGTTCTTACAAATTTACAATAATGCGGTACACATTGATTTAAGTCTTTCCGATTGTTTGGTTGTGTAATTTCGTCAAGGCATTGCACAAAATTCAACCTCACCATTAATTTGCACATCTCAGCTGAAGAAAACCGTCCAAAGGTAAATGTAGTTGAGTCAGGAATATTGACATGACATTTCTTAAGTAACTCTTTGAAGTTAACAACAACCCGTAAGTTGGCAGATGCCAGTTTTGCAGTGAAAATTCTTCTAGAAATTAATCAATTTGGACAAAAAGGATTTTATGGAGTCATTACATTGCTGCTATCGACTCAGGAGAATGATTTTTCGCGAGCTATAAACGCAATATTGCGCTATGTTTCTTTGTATGCTCCTTTTTGACACTCTGGGATACGTCAAAGCTCTCGTAAATATTATCTTCGCTCCCCCGCTGCAAATTCCAGAGGACAAATTGGTCAATCACTCACTAAGAACGGAAGAAGAAACGCTGTCTTCTTCGCCTACGCCATCGCTCGGACTTGTCCTCGTAAGAATGAACCGTATTGCTCAACACACGTGACTTGACATAAATGGTCTCCAGGTACCACGGTACCGTCGCCATGATAACAGATGAGGCCCTTAAAAAAAATTACTTAATAATGTATTTATCCAGCTGTTGAAAACTTTTCCTGATGAATGAGATCGACAGTATTGTAATCTTATGTTATAAGACACTTCCTTTTGAAAGCGCAAAATATTTTCGAGCCTCCCTACTAGGTATATCGTACAACTAGGTATACTTGGTATTCCCCAATTTTAATTTTAATAGGTAACCTGTCGCAATGGAATAACACGGCACAGTGATTTGAACATTAAGCGTTTGATTCGTCACTAAATTTCGTTTAAGATATCTCAAATTGAAGAGGTCCCATCCCAGTGCTATCAAAGGAACCTCTATGTAAACATAATCGGCCCAGTGGGTGACCTAAGTAATGAGTGTGTCGTAGTTTATCGTGTTGGTTATTTCTAAATGATGCCAAATTAAAATACCACACTATCTCTCTTAGAGCTCTGGAGCCCTGCTTGAAGAGAAACTAGAGAAAATGAAATATGACAAGCTTCGAATATTTTCCAAGTGCGTTTAATAAAACGATTTATCTTATACAACAACAACACATAGCATTCTTTCCAAGGCTAGCCATCTTGAAGAGTGTGAATCTACTGCATCTATCAAATGAGAAGACCATGATAAGCTTTTGAGGTAGTCAAACTAGATTCAGATTGACTAAAAGAATCCTTCCGTGAATTCTTGGGATGCACCCTTCACATAAGCATCTGGTAATTCAAAGCTTTTCTGTAACAGTAATGAAACCCATGGCTATTTAAAACTGATTTAAATCGAGGATATTTTGTCCCCAGGGAGCGTCTCTCTTTCACTTACTCAGGTCGTTGAAATAGAAAATTTAATTTTTGATATTTTGAAAATATCGTATGGAAATCATTTGATACGTCTATTAATAGTTTAGGATTGAGGTCTCCCCCCTTTTCTCCACAAATATGCACGCGCACACGTACACACTTACACTGCTGCCAAATTAAATAGATACATGTACTAGCCAGCCAGCTTAAATCTAAGTGAAGTAAGTTCTGTCAAAAGCGAAAGATCCCTCTTTAAAAAGTTGCTTAGAACATGTCAGTGTCAATCATGTGCACTGTTTAGTCCTCGTGGTCTTGGTCGTACCTGCTGGTGCTCTATGTGATTCCTAAAAGCTAAATTCTCCAACCGCACTATGTTGAGGATACTAAAAGATGGAAAAGTATACATTGTGTCATTCGAATTTATTGTATTTAGTTGGGGTGTGACAAACTAGAGAGGTACATATGCCTCTTGACAACTACATTTATGCCAGCAATAAAATCACTTGATAACTATTGGTTCTCAGTGGCTGACTTGTCCCAAGTGGAACAGGATGATGGAGGAAAAAGTAGAAAGAGTATTAAAGTCTATTGGCTTATTTGTTTTGGCCATGCAACCTTCTGAGCTTGGGCTCTTGTCTTTAGAAACAGATTGAGGTTGACTCTATTTGTGGTTCCCTCATGATAAATATGTAGATCATTGTGTAACTTACATTGATTCTTGAGGTGTTAGCGCATTCTGTGTAGGAACCAAAAGTTACAGTTACAGATTTCCTGAAGTAAGACTGGATATCTGAGATGCTAAAACATGCCTTAAAATGTATTCAATTGCATTTCCTTAAAGGTCCTTTTCCCAATAACCGAAAGTTGAATGGGAGGATTCACAAGACCATTTGGTCAACAATAAACCACAGTAGTGTTGCGTAACGCAGAATGATACTAAATCATAGGTGTCAGGTAAAAAGAGAGAGTCGCCTTTATCGATCAAATTTCTCATTTCTGCTTTGTTTTTTTTTTTTTTTTTTCCTTAATGGAAAATAAATGACAGAAAAATTTTAACATTTTTTTGCTAATGAAAATGTATTACTCGCCCACTAAGAACACTAACATCAGCACAACTGACACCACACATATTTGTGAACAAATCTAATTTAGATTTACGTTGTTTGCAAAATTGCCATGAGATAGTGCTAACACCGCTCAGTGGAGCAATTTTCTTACCTGATCACTTCCAACTATGGGACAATCGCCACGAACACGATTTAAGTCCAGAATTATTCCGTCGTCCCTAAAAGTGAATGATTTTACATCAACAATCGTTTTACATGGCCCAAATATGTCTTGGACTAAACGACGCAAAGCTAAAAGAAAAGAATAAACCAGCAAACAAATGTTTTCGTAATCACTGATTTTATCCTTTCCCATTGCAGTACGTATTGGAAAAATAAAAATGTAATAATTTGTGTACTAAGTTTAACGCCCAAAAGTCGTTGTGGGTTTAATCACTCAGAATATATACAAAAGGTATGACCGTGAACTGCCAAATGGCATGGTGATGAATTGATGTACATTCATTCAGTTTTAAAGGATGTAAAAGTATTAATTCTGTGGCCTGATGAACATTTTTGGTGGAAGCACCCACCTTAATGAACGTCTCATTGTTGACACAGTTTAGCTCTGAGAATTTGATGCTTAATCAAACCTTATCTACGAGGCTAAATTATTTTTTCTTCTTAACAATTTTCTGCTTAAAATTGTAGTGACATCAGTCTAACATATTTTCTTTCTTTGCAGTATTTCTTCTGATAGATTTACATCCATCTTAAAACTTTACTATTACTACTCTCTGATCAATACCATTTTGAATTAGGTTGATAGAAGTTACATTGCATCTCCATTTACAAGGCAATTTGATCAAGAGAAGAGGAATTAAAGTGACACTATTAAGGCTCATCAAATGTGTAGCAATTGTTTAGATTTGTCACTGAGTGCCCTTCCCCCAAAATATTTTTTCGCAAGGGAAGCATTGCATGATATCCTTAAGAGAGGATGCAAAGAAAAGTTTACACCTATTAAATCAATGCTGTACTGTAGCTCTTACCTTAAAATGACCACGTAGGACAGATCTGTATTAAAGACCTAAAAATCCAAAACGAAATGATTATCAAGGATCATTATTTTTTACTTAAAAATAATCTTTTTCTTGTCATCTAACTTGCTGCATTGGCCTAAATAAGACCAAAACTCTGTTCCAGTTAGACCAATTGTGTTAGTGTCTAGAAATTGAAGGCAAATAAANGATGAAATCAATTTTTTTACCTTTAAAAAATCCTCAATATTCTCATCCACAGCAGGAATTAAAGTGACACTATTAAGGCTCATCAAATGTGTAGCAATTGTTTAGATTTGTCACTGAGTGCCCTTCCCCCAAAATATTTTTTCGCTAGGGAAGCGAAAAATATTTTCCATGTTGTGTCTTGAAATGAAATGAAATCTGTGTGTACTGCTCGCCAGTGTATTTTTTATCTTTTTTTTTTTCAGCAATTATAGTGATAAATGTATCTTATAGTTCTTTTCTTTCCATTTGCTATAGCCTCATCCATCATGCTGCTAACTGGCCTATGGCATTATCGCCTGGCTCGGAAACATGTCCAACGAAAGAAAGGAAGACTGATGGTAAGTTAAAAATATCACAGATACCCTTTGGTCTGTAGTCTACACACAGAGGAGGGTTATTTCAATGCTGAATTGTATTTTTTTGTTCCCTGTTTGTCCTGTGAGCCTTTTTCTTAGTCAACTGTTATTACAGAATGATTTTAACGAAAGTATTCCCTTTGAAGGGAGATCTTCAGTTCTTTCGTCACTCAATAAACCTGTAATTTTAAGAGGCTGCTCCTTTATGGTATAGAAACCTTGAAGGTTGTGATATCCCAGTTACTCGGTCATGCAACTGTCACGATGGAGTCCTTCTTTGTCACAGTGCTCTCTGTACCAAATGTTTGTGATAATGAGTCATAATAGAACAAGTAAGGTCAGAAAAGATTTCCCTGTACTTTAAGAGTGCAATGGTACAATAAGAAGAGTTCTTATACTTACAACTCGTCCTATTTCTTGATCAGCCATACTAGCCAAAAGAACAGACAGGGACAGATTGCTATTTGTAATAACAAATACAGTAATATGTCTCTTCCTGGTGATGTTTCAAACTTTGCACATAGTATTTAAGACCATTGTATACTAGATTTGCTCAAACCGTGAAGATTTTATCGCTCTTTCTTATTTGTTCGCTTTCCTTGATTTGCAAGCTAATGAGCTGTAAAGTACAGTATATAGCGAAAAGAATGTAAGGAGAATAAGGCCCAGTAGTCTTGCGTCGCTCCAAGCAAGTGATTCGTGCGCCGCTTATCTCTTGGTCAACCGACAAGTGAAAGTTATTTCTGGCTTAATTTGTTAATAGTAGAAACTGTGATAAGCTTATTACATGATTTGTGCGAAATTTTACCTTTAACTCAAAGAAACGTTGCCTTTTAGTGGCTACTGCTCTGCTTTGTTGAAATCGTCCCACTCCAAAAATTTCGCCCGCGATCCGCCATTAATCACATGGACTTGTTTTGGAGATCCCGCTGGTGGAAAATGAGCCCGCAGCCATCTCTATGGCAACGAGTAGCTCATTATCATGTTGTAACGAATTTTCATCCATTGGCAATTTATTGTGTGGTTATTTTCCGTCTCTGGGCGTTTAAAGCAAGTGAAATCTATTGCATTATTTTTTTGTGTGTGCGTTTGAATCGTTATGCGATTTTCTGGAGCCCGTTTATTGCGACGGCATCCATGTACCTATGCAAAAACTTCTCGATGATCGAACGGTTTAAAGTGGTGAAGGAACCATATAAGTACTTATACGAATTAAGAAATCATACAGATGCAAGTAGATCTTACAAGTACGAGAGGAAAAAGTTTGTGAAAATGTGTATAAAACCCTCTGATCTTGCTGTCGATTTCTGTAAACCGTTGTATTCCTTTTGGAGAACAAAAAGAGTTATTCCGGTGAAGGAGATTATTTAACTCACACGCGCTCATTTTGTTTGTTTTGACAAGGTTCTGTCTCAAATTATTTCCAAGGCGTTTCGGTGAGTTAATGCAACATATTTCTCTCCTTTCCCTTCGTAGGATGCTTGAATAATAATGTATATAAACACTCTGAGCGAAACACTGAGTCAGTAGCCTCAGCCACTGCGTTTAAGACGTGAAGACGAAACATGATCAGAAGCATTTATGTTAATAACGTCTGCCAAAATAATTAAAATATCGTCTAAAGCCCGGAACAGACCAATTTAGCCGGCAGTGAAGGCTTATTATTAGGACAAGTTGGCGTTTAGAAGCTTGCGATCGTTTGTTTGATTTGGAGATAGAGGAAGGGGGCTGAGAAAGGCGTAATATTCACTCCCCCACCCTTAGCCCACCTGATTTTTGACCGTCACTCACCCCCTTGGTACAAATCTCTTTCTCTCCCCAGCCTTCCACTGCCATTAAAATCAAAGATGGCGGCTATACTTTTCGCTAAGAAAATACTGAGCGCTCGCTCGCTAAAATTACGCCTGCTCTGAAGGCTAAGACCGTTTGAATATTTGTTTTAACGATATATTTTTTGTGGTTAGTTGCTCTGGCATTTTTGCTCATTTCTCTAGAGTTTGTAATTTGTGCACGTAGATCTTTGTTTTCATAGGCTGACCGATATGTCGCTTAAAACTGTTGCCTTTAAATAGATCAAGGGTTCTATTTATAATTTTGCAATGCTATGGACGGTTGAAAGTAACAAGGCAATAACAGAGACGATATTCTGAAATAAATTTGTTGGTAATATTATCCTCTGAAAGGACTTTTCTCTGACTGAAAAGGAAACGGTCATGAACAACTCTCCGAAGTTAACTTTATTAACTGTGAATACAAGGTCATTTTACATAAATGGACAGACTTAATCGACCGACATAAGAGGTTTTTCCAACGGAAGTTTGGGGTATTGTACACATTGTACGTGGTTTTAAATATTTTGTTTGATATTAGATTCTGCTTAATGATTTCGTGTTGTTGAGCTTCATATTTAGCGAATCATAGTTGGGTCAGCTTCATTTTTCCATTACCAGGATGTGTCGTGTATTGAACATGTACTTGAAATCTTCAACATAAACATAAATATGGAGGCTCGTTCTGGTCCATTTACATTTGTAGGTGTTGTATGTGCATATGCCACATGTTCACGATTAAGCCCGCCAGGAAAAACAATATATAGATTATAAGCCACATGCCATAACAGGCTACACTTTCTCTCTGGCCACTTGTTATCTAAAAAAACAAGGAAATTTAACAGTTGCTAGAATCACTCATTCTGTGTCTAGTTAAGAAATTAGATGGACTTGCTGCTGCAGTAAGGCTTTTTGTGTGAGTGAAAGTGAAACAGAGGATATGCTGTTGTTGTTGTTTCTTATTTTTCTTTGGTTTCCCATATTTTCAGGGTGAAAGTATTTTTGATAATTATTTTTTTTGTTTGGTTTGTTTGCTTTTTTTGTTTTTGTTTTTTTTTTTTTTACACTTGCTTACTGCGCACCCATCACAAGCAGTTTTGAATCTGAAAATAAATTGATAATTCATGGCCTTAGATGGCAGAACTTACTTTTGCCGGCTGGATGACATTGTTTGTAGGTACAAGCCAGGTATATTTTTGTTTTAATTTCCAAGTTTCTTTGTCTACCAAGTACGTACAGTACATGTTTTATTTTTTAATATACTACTTACCTTTGCGCTTGTAGAGCTATTTGTCAATTCTTGGGACTTAAATCTCTGTGTAATCTCCCTTTCATTGGTTAGTGTGTGGTGCTAGGAAAAAAATTATAAGTTTGAAGGTTTAAGCACAGAGGATATGGAGTCGTTGTAAAGCATTGCATTTTTAAATTTTTCTTTGGTTTCTTTCAGTGTTTGGGTTTAAAATAATTTTTTAACAAAAATTGTTTATGCTTCTACTGCGCACCACTCTTACTGCACATTCGCATCACAAGAAGTTTTGAATCTGAATAGAAATTGATAATTCATGCCCTTAGATGACAGAACTTACTTTTGCCGGCTGGATGACGTTGGACCCTTGATTACTTCTGAAAATATCAATGGTTCAAGGTTGTGTTAGTTGTTTAAATATCTTATAATTGGTTGAGTTGAGAGACTGAAATGTAGGTTGGAAGTGAGAGCTTTGTGAAACTAACACCAGATTGATATTATTTCTAACAGCTTTTATCAATGGGAAAATTACGCTGCCTTGGGAAACAGATGTAACAATTCTTTAGGAATCCCTGAACAAAACTTTTATCTTCCTCACCTGCCAGCATGGGGGGATTCCTCTTCACTCTCACTGCTGCTTGTATTGAAATCTACCTCTTTTGAATCGCGGTACGCCTTCAATGCAAAAATGACAAAGTTTTGTACTCAGAGTCACTCCAATATAATAGAGTCACTTTCAAAATTAACCAGCGCAAACTATTACCCTCTATATCAGGAAAAAATGTAATTTATCTACATGCTCTACAACTGCATTGCATCCTCTCCATCTGCAGGTAGAATTTTGCTTTGTTATCGTTTTGCGTCAATTTCCGTGCAGTATTTCATGAAATCTTGCCTTAATGATGATAGTGAGAATGGTAACAGTAATGACACTAATAATAAGTTTTTAATATTCCTCTCACCATTGCGCCCGTAGAGATATCTTCCAATTTGAGGGACTGTACACCATGAGTAATTTCCTGCGTTATTTCCATTTCATTGGTTGCTGTCTGGTATTAGGGAAAAAAATTGTAAGTTTGAAGGTGTAAGCCGAGAGGATATGCATTCCTTTTTAAGTTTTCTTTCAATGTTTGGGTTAAAATATTTTTCAACATTTTTGTTAATTTATATTTTAGAGCATGCTTTTGTAGGTGCGAGCCAACGTAACCGCTTCTTTGGAAGTATCAGTGCTGTTGTTGCCTCTGTGAGTCAATCAGGAAAAAATGTAATTTATATACACTCTATATAACTGCATGATATCCTATCCATTCCTTGTATAGACAATTCCACTCGCAGGTTAATCGTTCTGATTGTATTTTCCGAATGTCAGGGTGTGGCTTTTCTAAGATTATTCGGTATTTTCTCGTTTGGAGTTTTCATGTTGTCAGAGTGATGACTGATGTAATCAAGATCGACGTAGTCCTTCGCTCGAAGCCTAAAGTTACTTGGAAAACAAGTGACTGTGTCTAGGCTAATCTTTGTCATCCTTCAGCAATCTTGTCTCCTTTAGGCTGTTTATAAGGTCTTTGAAAATCAGAATTAAGAAATGCTGCATTTTGATCGGTAAGGAGGTTGTTTTGGAGATGAATTATAGCCTACCTGAGTTTGAAAGACGATGCTTCCCACAAGGTTGATCCGCGTTAAAATTATACATACTTCGAGCACGCAGATATGAAGTGTCCCGGGTTGCAGACCTTTCTCATATTAGGAAAACTTGTGCTGGTTTGATATGAAGGAATATTGTCAGTTATCGAAATGAATTTCTCACCTCAGGAAAACCAGAGAATGTTTTGACGCCAATGTGCCGTAATTTTAAGGTGTTCAGTAATCCTCGAAATCTCATTCATATTTCGATCGCTCTTTGGTTTGTCTTATCAGAACATTTCGGTACTCCAGGCGTTCTTCTTACTTGTGATAAATGCGAAGTTTATTCCTCTTGCAAAGGAAAGCGTGGATGCATCACCTATGAGATTTGTTTATATTCGAGTGTATCCAGCCATGAAGCCATTAAGGAATCACTCCCATCAATGTTTAATCCAATTAATAATCGCCTTTCAATGGTTTAATGCGCAGTGATCTGTGATCTTCTAGACACCTATCATCGAAATGCAGAAAGTATTTTTTGACATTGCATTGCATTCCTCATGTAAGGAAGAAGGAAATCTTTGCCTTGCTATGTTCACTAGTGTGCAAAGGCTTCATCTTCCTGAGATGATTCTCTCTCAATTCTGCCTTCATTGTAAATCGCTCCTTAACTGTGTGAAGTCATCTGTCATGGCTAAACTGACAATGTAGATATCAAGGAACGAAGAACTGAACAAGTTGAGCAGTATAAGAGTTTTGACCATCTTCGACTTCGTCTCGGTCCGTAAAAACGCAAAAAAAGCTCGGCCAATATCCAGCCATCTTAACCTTACGCTTGGTCAATAACGCATGTATATTGATGCGGATCATCGCGTTCAAATGCAAATATGATACTGTTTATTTGACGTGGGCTTTGCTCCCTTAATTCGCGGATGAAAGAAGCACGTTTAATGAAAGAAACCCATGAATGTGATGAAATCATTTGGTGCTGAAACAATGCAATGGAAGTATTGAATACTTTAAGGGCGCTTATCACTACATGCTACGAAAGGGAATGGGCTGTCTATCAATTTTTTTTCATTTGCTTAATCATTCTCGCGCAAATACAAGACCCTCTTTGGTTTTGTTGGTGACTGAATCTTGAGGTATTTTTTTGAGGCTCTTGGCTATATTCTCAAGTGTTATACAATAAACATATACAATAAACATGCATAAGAGGAATAATAACGTAATAAAAGTATTAAGAGTCAGTACACCATGTAAACAACCCATGGCTATCTGGGGCGGGAAAAAGAGGTTGCTGTGTCAGGATTGGCTTACGTTTGGCTTCTGATTGGTTTAGAGTGAGTAGTACGAGTTTCTCTTGAACTGGGGTGCTAGCTTTCTGAAGCATATCCGGATTACTTCAAACACTCAGTCGAATACCGCTTTAATAGCCTAATGAGGTCCATTGGTTACTTTTCTATTAATATGTTACTAATGAGCATTAGGCAGCGCTAGAAGCAGTCAATGATTGCAATGTATTTTTTTAATCTTTCTCAGCGCCTAGGCTTGAAAACTCACGAATCGATGGATCCGACTCTCTCGCACTGGAAGTAAATGCGTTGAGAACAGTTAGTAATCTAGGCGATAATCATTTTTCTTCGAATGGGGTGTCCCTTGATGTTTGGAGATCCATATTTACTCTTCCTTTTTTTCTGGTAGCCACTTGGCCCCTAAGTTTTTAAAGTGGTAGCCCATTCCAAACTGTTGGTCGCCATTTTTTTAAGACAAAGAAAACTTTTTTTTTACGGTGTCAGCGTTCTAGACAGACCCCCCAAAATGAAGTTTAAAAGAAAGATCTTTAACTTCAGCAATTCGAATCAAAGAATCGTGACGTCCTTTTCTTTAGAGTGGAGGATAAATTGCTCCTGAATCACTCAGTCATCTAAAATTGCCCAGGCCCCTGCTCAGGGAACGAACCCACTGACTTAAACATATTCGTCTATATTCAATACCTTGCAATTACATGGTTGACATCAGGAGTTAAGTAATAACTAATAAGTCGATGATCATTTCTCCAACAAATGGAGGGAAAATTCTTAAGATAAAAGTTGTGCTTTCATACTTCATTTCGCTATTAATACATACTAATACTACTAATACAGTATGAAGAAAAACCCTTATACGTTGAACGGAACGGAACAAATGAAGGTTTACAACATGAACTTGGCGGCCTGCGTGGTCTATAATGTTTATTTAAAGTTTGCACAACCATCACTGTTGCATTATCATTCGGTGATATCGCCAAAAATGCTAAAAATTCAAAAATTAAACCTGTACGAAGACTAACTAGATAAATTTTATAGGCGGGAAAAAACATCGAGTAAAATTTGCACGTGCTACAAAGTGGACTCTGGGATGGGTGATATACAACGTTCAAGCTCATCTAAATCCAAAATGGCGTCTAGTTGTCGATCGAAATGCATGTGGTGCGTTTTGGAAACAAACTTAACGAGGAAGTTTTCTGCAGATTTTTCTTCGCAAAACTTCTTATTCACGTTATCTCTAGATAAGGTATGATGAAGCATTCTAGTCGCCAATTTGGTGACTAGAATGCCAAGAATTGGTTGCCAAAGTGAAATTTTAGTCGCATTGACGCCTCTATTAGACGCAATTCACGCCCTCTAACGGCGCTCACCTGATCAGCAGCTAACATCTGATACACACGTGGTGGCCATGTAAACCCGCATTTTCTGAAAGAAAAAAAAAAAAAAAAAAACGTTTTTTTTGTTGTTTAAAATATTCCTCCCAAGTTTGATTGTAGTGTTAAGTATTGATAGCTACTTAGCCACTGAGTGAGTAACAGCTCAGTTTGTTTTATCATCTTGAAACACCGGGAACAGTGCAGGGTATTTCGTTTAGTCCTCCGATTTTGTTCATGATGGGTTATATGGTTCAAAGTAAAATCATTCTGGATTTTACTTGCGTGGTATGGATACGTAGGTCGTTTTGCTATGAACGTTTGGTGACTAGTTCTCTTCGCTCAGTCAACAACATCTCACAAAAACCCTCAAGAGGAAAAAAAATATATATGACAGTTTTTGGAGGAAAAAGGAACCAGATGGTGGCGCCCATGGTATTTTCGCCAAGAAGTAGTGGGCTTCTAATTTACTTGCTTTTGAAATGAATTGGACGTTGAAATCCTCATTTTCTCACTTTGGTCAACCACAATGTAATTCTACTTAAACTGTGACCTGACAAAGCGTAAACTTCACACGTTATGACCATAAGAATAACTCTTCCTTTACGTCGTAAGAGTAGTCCAATACGTTTTGTATTTTATTCATTTTTTAGCGAGACCAGAATTCAGCTTTCTCTCAAAGGCTAATCCAGTTATGATTCCACCTTGCGGAGAGAGGGATTTGTAGACCCTCTGCTCTTGTTGGGCGGCCATCTTTCTTGATCCTACATCGAACACAAAACGGTGAGTACAACGGTATTTCTTCTTTTTAATCTGTAGTATTCGTCCCTTTCTTCTCTCTGTTGGGTCTTGATCATGAAACGAGGTCAGACAATGTGGACGTATAGATATTGCTTAGCGTTCCGTTGTAGAATAGTTCTTCATTCTTGCTTGCCAGACAGTTTGAACCTCGTGGCCAGTTGGTCCATGATGTATATGAATCTTTTTTTTTAGGTTAGTGTTGCTCGTGTTTATTTGTTTTTGTTTTGTTTGTTTGTTTTTGTTTGTTTTTGTTTGTTTTTTTCATTACCTCTCAGTTTGAGTGAGGCGAAACTCCTCAAAGTGGGAGTAGTGCAAAACACTGAAAGTAAATGGAAACCACAAAAGGAAAAGAGATCGTTATATGCATTCAGCATCTTTAGTCTATCTTCCTCCTGTGCTAGTGACACTGAATGGATTTACATGATTTTGTTTTTCAGATTTTTGTTTGTTGTAGAAGTCCAACTTTTCAGCCGTACTGGGTTACTTGGTTGAGCTGTTTTGAATGTAAAGCTAGAGCTTGGGGACATGAAAGGATCCATGAGTGTCGACGAGATCAGATTCGCATAAAGCCCCGTGGATACTGAGGACACATCCTCATTTTAGAATGGTTAGGAATTCAAAAACAAAATGTTACATTAAGACACGAGAGCACTTATATAACCTTTTAAGAATTAAAAATCGAAAATAACTAGAGAAAGCATGCTATAAAACGCTGATTAAGATTATTTTGTTAACTCTGTGTACTTACGCGCAGTCCTTTCCTAAATCTCCGGTGCGGTGGACTCCTGTTTCTCCAACAGAAAAGCTTTATAAATAAAAGAATACTCATGAGGTGGTGGTGATAAACTAGTAGAGTTACCCATCGAGGTCATATTGCAGTTCGATAGCATGCCGTTGTTAAACTCGTCAGTGAATAGACCACACGAGATCCTTCATTGGGATGTTGTACAAAAGGAGACATCCATCACTGTATTCCAATTTTGTTTCTCCAAAGTTTTGAAAAAAAAAATCAGGATTCGGTATTTGTCCAGGTTTTGGTACTTGTCCAGGTTTTAGTTTTAGGGACCTTACGCAGCCACGACGGCGACGGCAACGAGGACGTGGAAAAACAAGGGATCTAATTGGCAGAACAATAGCTCAGCACGTGCGTTTTTAAACTTTGTACATTTCTTAGCCGTCCTATGCAAAACAACAACGTGAAATCACCAAAATTTGCGTCGTCTGCGAACCGAAACCGCGACGGCAAATTATTTTAATTTCCATTTGGAACTCAACGCTACTTTTATACGTCATGCTGAAGTTGAGCTGTAGCGCCGTATGAGACGGTAAGCTCATACAGCTATTTTTGAAATTCTAACTAAGAGTAGAAATTCATTTTTTAATCGAAGTCTTCCTTGGCGTTGCCGTCCTGATTGCGTAAGGTCCCTATTATCCAGGTTTTGGTAAGAAAAGCAGCGTCACAACAGGATCATGGCCAAAATAGTTTTTGTCGTTCCTACACACGACAAAGCCACGTGTATGCTTTCTTTTTCTGCTCTATGTTAAATTAAAGGAAGACCTTACGACTATGGAGAAAATGTCGCAAAGTTAGTAAAAATCCCAACTTACCACACGCTTAAGAGTGTAGAGACAAAAGTTACTGAGATGCGCAACAAGCACTATCAATTCGAAGGGGCTTGATTCGTGCTAAAGTACGGCTGTGCACCAGCTGTTCCTTCGTATGTCGGAAATGAGACTAAAGAGTCTGCTACGTTCCTAAACTTCATGTTTTATTTCGTAATCTAACTTGATCTCCCTCTCCCCCACACCGTTCCCTTCTCACTTTAAATATACAATATGATCTTAATGTTCAATCATGTCACTTATCGCAAAAAATCAACCGGAAATCAATTAACGCCGAATTGTCTCACACACACTCCCCTGTATTTTTTTTGGTGTGTTTTTTTTTCAACGGAAAAAAAAAACAAAAACACTAGAATGGCACACTTGATATGATTTGAAATTCAATGAACCAAACGGAAAGTTAGCTCAGTATATTCAGTGTTCCTAAATATCTCTAATCAGCATCGATGTTCGCGTCTTGAATGCGGTAGCGAGCGGCTACCACTGCATCCCTCCTGGGTTGAGTTGCAGAGGAGCCTGTACATTCTCCCGATCGCAGGACAGCTCCATTGTATAAAGGCGTTGAACCGCCCGTTCAGGTGTTCCTTTCCCCGCTCAAAGTTTGGCAGCTCGAACTATTCCGTCTCTTCCCGAAATCAGATCTTCCACGTTTCTAATTTTCCACTTATTGCGATTTCGTTCCTCGTCCTTGATGATGACCACCTCTCCTTTGGCCAAGGGCGTGGTTTGACCCTTGTGTTTCATTGTGTATCAGTCTCTCAACCCTTGTAAATATTCGGTAGTCCATCTGGTCCACAAATCGTGCTTGTACCTGCGCAGATATTTAGCTCTTCTGCGTAGATCCAATTTTTTTAGATGGTGTGGTTCTAGTTCTGGTAGCTGGTTTGATCTAAGAAATAGCAGTGAGTTAGGGGTAAGCGCGGGTAGCTGTATGTCGTCTTCGACGTAACATAAAGGGCGGTTATTTAAAGCAATCTCCACATCCAGTACCACTTCACATAGCTCTGTCCAGGTCAACATTCCGCATCCAACAGTCTTGTTTAAAGCTGTTTTGACCAGTCCGATGAAGTGCTCGAACTGTCCTCCCCACCAAGCTGCGCGGCTGAGGTTAAACTGCCACTTGATGTTTTCATGTGCTAAGTAGTCTTGTGTCTTCTCGTCCCGCACAACTTGTTTAAGCCCATTCTCCGCGCCAACAAAGGTTTTGCCATTGTTGGAATATATCTTCTCCGGCCGCCTACGGCGCGCGATGAGCCGTTTTAACTTAGGAATTCACTGGTCGCCAGGTTTGGTAGTACTTCTAGGAATAATCCTCGCGTAAGACTGCATGTGTACAATGCAAGATAGGCCTTTCCATCTGTTTTGGCTCTGATACGGTACTTCATGGGCCCTGCAAAATCAACTGCTATAATCTCGAATGGGGTGCTTCCCTCTGTACGGTCAGTGGGTAGGAGTTCACGAAGCGGTGTAGCCAGTGCCATACCCTGAAAACGCTTGCAGCCTGAATACGCGCTGAGAACTTGTTTTATGAGTGCCCTTAAGCGCGATACCCAGTATAGCTCTCGCACTTTGGTCATGGTAAGGGCCACTCCTCCGTGAAGTGTGTCGACATGTGATGGGTGAACTAACTTGCGAGTGAAGGGCGAGGAGTCTGGTAGGAGGATGGGGTAATGGCCTTGAATTCTTCCCCAAGGCTCTAATATTCTCTCTTGATTTCTTTGCACATTCAACTGTAAACGGTCTTCTTCAAATTTCCCGCTTCAATTTGCGTGTTGTTGAGCTTGCTTGAGCCAGAGCGCTGTCTGTTTCTGTATTTCTTCAGTTGTTAGGGGACCAACGACTCTCTGTTTACGGACAGTTCTTATGTTGTGAAGGATCTCCCGACCCAGGCACCACCTCGCGACACACGCCACAGCTCGTACTTCTCCAGCAGCTCATCGAAGGCGTCGTTCTCTGTTTCTTTACCGCTAGAGCAAACAACTCGCGCGTTTGTTGCACTTCTTCCGCTTTTGATTCTTGAGTAGATGACGCCGCAAGGTCTGGCGGCCAGTCTTGGGGGTTTGCTAACCAGCTTGGTCCCTGCCACCAAAGCGCTGTCAATCTACTAACATCTCCCCGACTTCCCACGTCCGCTGGATTCTATTCTGTTGGTGCATGCCTCCAGTTGATTTGTTTTTCCTGGATCTTCGTCACTCGATTTCTCACGAACGCCGTTTCCACAGATCCAGTACAGTGCTACTGAGTTACTGATCTAGCCAACCACAAACATTTCTTTCGGGAAAACCCTTCAGGACTTCTTTAACATTTTTTGCTAGGTTTGTAGCCATATGTCCAGCCACTAGTTCTAAACTGGGAATCGTGAGTCCTTTCTTCCCGAGCCGCGACTTTGCTGTCACAAGGCCTTGATTCGTGTCTGATGGTTGCTCCACCACTGCATAAACTGTGGCTGAAACTCCTTTCCCGCATGCGTCCCCGAATGTGTGTAAGTCGATGGATAAAATCTTCCCTACACCCTTAACTACATTTTGTGCATGGTGCGTTCACGTGCTCTGGAAGTCCTTACTCCCTCTTCTTCCATTTGGCTTGTAAGTCACTTGGTAGGGGGCTATCCCACGCGATCTTCGTGTCGCAAGCATCTCTGTAGAGCATTTTTCCAGAGAGGGTCATG